CCGATGTTTATATTTTGCTGATGTTTCCGTTTCCCAGTTTGCTTACTGTACAGGCACGACACTTGTATCACAATGATGACGAAGTGTATATGAATGAAAAAAATCACCTTGTTAAAAGGTTCAATGACAATTATTTATATATGAACATTAAAAACCAGCGAAATGATATCCGATTTCAGGAAGAAAAAACAAATAGTGTTAAAACCTCTGTTATTTTAATAGATAATGTAGACGTTGAAAGAACTAAATATTTAGGAGTCTTGATTAACGAACAGTTGAATGATAACCCGATGGTATGTTAGAACGTTCATGAAAAACATTACCGTGCAGCTGCATAGGCCTACACTGCTGTCAGTGACACACATTTATACTCGTATTAGGGTAAGGCATATGTTTATTTTTATAATTTATGTCAATAATTGTTTCATTAATACTGTAAACTTATGCTGCTATTTTTATAGAAAGAAATTTTCGGAAATGACGTAAGGTCTTGGATTCGACATGTATATATAAAATGTGATAGGCTCAGCACCTTGACCTCTGACGATAAGTGCCTAAAATTTACTACAAACATGTGAAATATAATAATGAGCGATTATCACTGTTTTTGGAACAATTTTGAGCCGCTCCGAGTTACTTTCCTATTCTTCTTTTTTCCTTTATTCTACTAAATTATGCATTATCCTTTTTCAAAATTAACAGATTAATTACATATATACATCACACACTTTTATGTTTTAATTGCTCTTATGTATACATTGTGTCTAATTAACATTTTTCTAACTTTGTGAATCTAAAGTCGGAGGTATGTCCTGGTCCCGACCCTTTAACGTTACTATTAGATAGGCTTATCTTCATAAGACTTCTACGAATGGATACCTTGCTCGAAGCAAGAAATCAAGTTGTCTTTACCCAGTACTGCTCATTACTTTATTCGAGTGAGACCTTTTGTTTTGTTGTAAACAAATGCAATGGCGTGAGAGTTGGTGATCGTAAAACGTCGACTAGAGATAAATCCTTGAAGATAGTTTACCATTTCCCTTAAAATTAAACGCGATGCTTGTTTAATTTAGATAACTATTAAGTGAACTTACATTTTGCTGGTTGTGTCAACTACTGTAATGTTTTCTCGATGTAGGATTCGACTTGCGATAGCGCGATAATCACCTGTATAAAGGTAAAGGTAGGAGAATACCCCATAACTTGCAGCGTCATTGTGCTGAATTGCGTACGGGCGTGGTCCGTGACTACCTAGCAGCCGTAAAGAGGCGCTTCTTGGTAGATACATGTTCACATCATTCCACAACTACAGGGGCTGAAATGAACCATAACATCGGGGTAAGCCCCTACTCTTCCGAAAGATGCAATGGGTTCTTTAAAGTGCACACGAGCCAGATGTATACACTGGACCTCCATTTTAAGTCCTTATCCGAGAAGACGGATACCAACCGAACCATGGGCGAGGAGCGGCTGGAACCAGCGCCGATGTTAAAGGCTGTAGCTAGCGGCGCCCCTGCCTTACCGCTCGGCCACTCGACTCGTTGCAGTTTCTTTAATTTTTTTTTTAATGAATTTTAAACATTACGATTACATAAACGTTATAATATAATTGCGGTACACCTACGTGGGGTACCGCAAGCATTAATAGGCCTATATACTATTAGTTCGCTATGCAAACCTTCAAACAATAAACGTTATACATAAACGTTATACACATACACACACACACATACATTTCCACGTACACACATTTCCATATACACATACACCCATACACACATACATAAACATACTGTACAACATATACCGATGCAGCTTTTAAGTTTTATTTATGTTCTCACAATATAAGTCTGCTGCAACTTCAAGTATATATCTACTTCTTCAAGTCCTCTCGCCTCAACTAGTCGTATGTCTGATCCAAATAATATTTTACCTCAACTACGCAGGGAACTCGCTGATAAACTCAAGAATTATCCTACGACATTGGAACATTTCGCTTTTCAATATGGAGCGTCGACATTCAATAAATCAAGATTTGCTTGCCATGTTAATTTTATTTCCACTTGTCTCAGAAGTAACATCATCCCGTTTGGATTTAGATCTAACTGGAAACCATCTATCGCCAATGTCCATCCGGACACTGTATCAAAACACATTCAGGATTGTTCCAGACGACTTATGCGATCCAGTCTACGGTCATTTCAAAGGAGCCGTAACACCAATAGTGACAGGATGGAACGTTTTTTTAATCTAATCAAGGAATCATGCAACTATACCGACTTCAACCATATTCGCCATACGGTCCACGTTCTTAACCGTAAGTACTATGAGTGTCTCACTGCTATTAAACAATCTAAACTGGACAGGCTATTATCCGAACAAAAACCGAACAATGCTACTATTAGTTTACCTGATACATCTAAACTTGTTGTTACAATCCCACCTGATCTCAATCTCACCGATGATGAAAGGTCTGTTCTTTCTAAAGGACTTTCGTTTGTTCCTAAACGTGAATTTGCTGATGATTTCCAAGTGAAGAGCGATTTAGAACTTTTTTATCGGAGATTAAGACTGAAGGCCCGTTTTCATAACTAAAACATCCTGCCTAAAGAACAAGATGAATTTACTTGTTTAGTCAAGAATAAATCTAATTGGACACCTCCTGCTGGACAGTTTAAAACCTTGGATCTCTACTTAGAGAAATGTCGCCACGATGTTAACCAGATTGACTTTAAACGCCGAACTAAATGCAATAATTTATCACACCAAGAAATAAAAGCCTTGCGTTCACTGAGAAACAACAACAATTTGGTCATCAAACATGCAGATAAAGGCGGAGCTACAAGACCAATCATTGGTAAGCACTGCTTTGATGATATGATTAACAACAACGAACTACCCCCTACTGCCAAGTGTTTGGTTAACCCGCACCCATCCTGCTCACGCTTCTACATGCTGCCTAAAATACATAAAGCTAACACACCAGGTCGTCCTATCGTGTCTTCTTGCAATTGTCCCACAGTCATCATAAGTGAATTCCTCGATAATGTTTTGAGACCTATTGTTCAACGGTTACCTACATATGTCAAAGATACCAACGAAGCCATCCGTTTATTCAGTGAATTTCAATTTACCGGAGTAAATTGCCATATTTTCACCATGGATGTCAAGTCTCTCTACACTTCAATCCGATCATCTCATCCTCCTGCCTGTAAGAACTCTATACCCTACTCACAATTAGTTCGCCTTAGACGCATATGCCAAAGCGATGATGATTTCAAAGCCCGTGCTGATGAAATGATGAATTTCTTCTCTACAAGAAGCTACCCTGCTTCTATCACCAATGAATGCATCAGAAAACTCAATGGTATTTCTCAAGAAGAAGCCCTTAAACCACGCAGTAATACCAGCAATTCTGACAGGACTCCCCTAGTCCTAACATACCATCCCATGACTAAACAAGTGGCTCAAATTATCATCAAGAACTTCGACATATTATCTTCCGACCCATCCACTGAGACTATCTTTAAATCACCACCAATCTGTGCGTATCGTCGCGATAACAGCATCAGGGACACTCTTGTTCATTCTAATTTACGCACTTCACTTGATACCAAGGGATCTACTGTTTGCTGTAAAAGACCACGCTGTAAACTTGCGCCCACGTCAAATCCATGGAATTCATCAACGGACCTTCTGGAAACCATATTATTACAGATCAATTTTCATGCATATCTGTCAACTTGGTGTATGCCATTTTATGCACTAAATGTGATGTCATCTACATTGGTGAAACTAAGCGTCGTATGGCAGACAGATTCACGGAACACCTCAGGTCTATAAGACTGAGACAACCTGGCCTCCCTGTAGCTGAACATTTCTCCACCAACCATAGTCCGGATGACATAAAAATAACTGGTATCACTCTATGCCACGGATCCGATCACGTCAGGAAAAACACAGAGGAACGCATTATCCATCGTCTCGGTACTTTAGCTTCTCGTGGACTTAATGTTTCCTTTAAATTATTTTAACTATAATTATTATTTGATATTATGCTTGTATTTATGCTTTACTTGTTATCTCTGAGACCGTGGATTTATTATGTACATTTGCGTTTTTTCAATATACTTCTATTTCATATCCATTATATACGATCATTCCTATTTATTATTTATTATATTTTATACTTATTTATGTCATTAGTTCAATCCCGGTTGTTATCATCTTCGTTTATATTTTTATTTTTTTATTTTTTGGCGCCATATTTTATAGCACCTCTCAACTCTGATTGGTTGGCTTTTTTTACTACGCCCTTAAGGTATTGTTTAGCTTGTATATCAACGCTTTCCTATGATGCTGCATACTACGTCCGCATTCTATTTATTTATACTCGTATTCATTTTTATCTGTACGTATACCTGATGAAGGGCGATGCCCGAAAACGTTCGTGTACTCAATAAATTACATTTGGCAATACTAGACACCTCTCCTGAAGTTTTTATTTTTTTATATATGTTTGCCGATGCAGCTTTTAAGT